AAAAGTAAAAAAAATAAAATGTATTTATTTTGATTAGCTGTTAATTTCCAATTAAATGTATGGCTGTTTCAGAGCCCGATTTCTATCCACTGCGCCATTTGCACTGCGCCAGTCTTGTTGGCCAATTGCTGTAGCCTCAATTTTCATTAATCAATAAGAACTGGTACGTTTGGCATTCCCGTTAAACTAATATAGAAATCGGCGGGCAGTCAAAAATGTAGGATTGCGAAATTCCTCAGCGAAGATTCCAATTAATTAACAACCTTTTGAAGGCAAGTCGTTGGCAGTCCGATTCGAGCTTCATCCACTGCCAAGAAATCTCGCAGCTTGTGACTGAAATAATTAATGATGTGGCGCACTGTGTCTCAACTTTGCGCCGTTGCTGTGCAAATATTAGCAAATTATTTTAGTTTTAGAGAATCTCGCTTCCCCTGGCCGGGGATGTTCTGTGCTGTTTGCATTGCGCCAGCCGTTAGCCAGAAATGTCAATTTTCTCAAATACCAGGCCCAAGAGCGCCTTCGTCTTCGAGTTCGTCTTTGAAGGACGAAGAGTCGGGCATTTCCATCCCCCTGCCATTTTCCGTGGGGGCACTAATGATGTTCTGGTCCTGTGTGGGTTACATTCACTCTCTCACACTCACCCTTCTGCCTGTGAGGATTGAGGATTCGTCCTGAAGACTCTGACAATATTTGCACTTTTCCATTTGGCTAAATGCTGTCCCGAGCTGTCCCAGTTGAACCTTAATTGTTCCTTTGTCAACTACTCGGAGTAATTAAAAACACCTTTCAACTGTCGAACGGCAGCAGGAGAGAGAGTCCAAGTGAAAGACAGAGTCTTGCTGCTGCCAGCATTCTGTTTGATTAGCAAATTTGTCAAATTTGCGGCGAAAGTCCATTTATCAATCTACTAATGATTTTTCTCCAACTGAGGCAAATCTACAGCTGCACTTGAGGCGACTGACTCTGCAAGATTTCTATAATTTGCATATGTGCGTAATTTGAGCAAACAAAAAAATTAATTAGAACCGCAGAAGGAGCAGCCGGAAAACCAACAATTAATTTTCAATTTGAGTAGCATAAACATTTTAATTGTTTGCCTGCAATTTAGCTGCCACAACACGAGTGAACAACAAGCAAACATATGTTAGACATTCGGATGGGGTTTCCTTTGGCCATAACCATCTAGGCCCATATGTACTCGGATTCAGATTAACGCTTCGGGCACGCTCCGAGCGCCGAGATTGGGGGCTTGCTCCATGAATTTCAATTCGCCCTGGCTCCCTGCCGTATCTGCCACATACTCGTGGGCTCATTTATGCCACAAAGCGTAGGCAAACTTTCGAGGCGGCAATAAAATCGCAAGACGCCATGTTTAACTGCCGCAGAGCTTCCGTAACCACTAAATTCACATGGCGCACATCCTTCTCATATGTACATTTAGCGTGCCATTTGCATATGTGCCTGCCTGAAGGATGGAGCGCGGCTTCCTTGTCATATTTCCATTAGCATTTGCCTCTTAACTCATCATGTGGTTGCGTGTGGCGGCGGATAAGTGTATCATCTTGCCGTGCGGCATTTATTACCCATATTCGAGCATCCTGCTTTTATCCTTTCGTCCCAACGCGCTCCGTAATTGCTGCCTTGGGCGCTTCCTCCATTGTCACGGATGGGCTGCATCACTTGCCAAACTTTATTATTGCCATTGTTGCTGTGGATGGCGGGGCGTATGGGTAATAGCTGCCAAGTGACAGATTTATGGCTTTGGACGGGCTAACTCCCAGCAATTGATATTCCTGAACGTCGTTCAGGATTCCTAAATTAAACATTTTCCCATTCATATGTATAAAAAAATTATTTTTATTTTTAAGCAATTTTAAACGCGATAAAAAGAACTTAGCCCCGAAACCCAGAGAACTAAACGCAGGCAATGGAGCGGCTTCTGATTGTTGACCTCTTGAACTGCATCGGGACTTAATAGAAACGCAATCAAATAATTGCGCAAAGTGTGCCACAATCAAATATAGCAACAAATTAGCCAAACGCCAACACCACCAACCATTCTCAAACTGCAAATCGATAAAGGCCGGCGATGCAATGCGATGCGATGCGATGCGATGGAGAAACCGCAGAGAAAATATTATAGAATTATCCAGTTGGTGGATGGATCGGATCGGCGTACCGAAAGCGATAAGTTTACAATTGCTTATGACTTCAATTAATCTGTGAAAGCGCCTACGCAGGCAGGCCTTCTGGGATATCTGGAGAAGATGTTCCAGGGGCGAAGGGGATCGATGTTTAGATGTCGGAGAATCCGCAAGCACGAAAATGCACGAAGAACAAAAAGAAAATCCAATTCAACTGGCCAAGAACTGGCTGCGGTCCAAGTCTGGTTCTGGTTCTGGTTGTGGGTCCCAGGTTCGGGTTCGGGTTTGGGTTTGAGTTTGGGTTTGGGTTTGGGCTTGGGTTGGGAGTTCGGATCCCAGACCGCAAGACACAAACACCCAAACGCAGCCGCCGCAAGACAATTGACCTGAAATTTCATTGAAGATGTGCCCGGGGTCTGGGCTCAGAAATCTATACGCGGTTAGAAACGGTAAATTGCTTAGTCATCTCCCATCGCTGATTGTGATCACGATCATTATAATTATTTGGCTGTGCCATTATTATCAAAATGGAATCGCATGCATGTCCAGGTCCACGTCGCCAGGTGCGGGTGGGGATCCCGGAAGTTAGGACCTGAACCCGCACGCATCAGCATCACCCAAAGCCTTAGAGCTTAGCCCTATTTCACACACCCGCACAATCTGCAGGGAAGGATTCATGGGAGTGGGCATGCCATACATGGCTTAAGTTTCAAGTAATTCCCTGCCATTACTTAAGTGGTCGTTCCACTGTTACAATTTTTGCAGGTGTTTGAATCCTTTTTCTGCTGCATTTTCAATTTACGCAAATGGACTTCGATTCGCGGCGCTGGGGAAAACGGAAAATGAGCTCTGGAAGTGCTCACATGGGGCCCGCCAGGTGCTCAAATTGCCGCAGGTCCAATCCGAAATTCAGCATTCAATGGCAGGAAGGGGTTAGGCGAGCAAAGTTCATGGCCAGCGGACGTGTGTGCTCACCAGATGCATCTCCATCTCGATTGGGGCTGCACTTGCACTTGCAGTTGCAGTTGCAGCTGTGCAGTAGCCAGTGCTCCAAGGAGATGCGCCAGTGGAGAAGCGGCTTTATTTTGGCCAGCCACTGGCCACATACGGATGTCATTTGGGCAGCCTTTGAACTCCTCACGCGCCTCCAGAAAATGATGAAAGCGCCGCGTCTAATAGGAAAAATGGTAAGATACTTTCTGCGTTTCATTTGTTTGTTCAAGGAGAATTGAAAAGTTGATTAAGTTCGGGGGTGCGGGTCGAAAGTGCATTGAAAGTAATCTTTTACTCTTTAATCGTGAGCTTTGACCCAAGAAATACAAGCAAATGGAAGTAACACCCACTGTAAGCCTACATAGACAATTGCACTCTCTATGAAAGTCTGTTTCAAAATATGGACTAGGCGAAAGAGTATAAAAAATCGTATTACGACCTAGCTTTATTTCAGCTTTCAGTACCATAATAAAATTTTTTTATAACTTTGTAATGAAAAGCAGAGACCATATAATAAACGGTAATAAGAACGTAGCTATTTACACAAGAATTATTACTTTAAATTTTATTTGTTATAATGCAATTATTTATATTCCAGATAATAACGATATAACCAAATGCCTCCCAACTCATGCATATAAATCATTTAAAGCTCCATAAAACAGCACCAAAAACAAAGCGAATAAGAAAGGTGTCATTTCGAGCGGGCAAGGTGAAACTAAACATAAAACCAAAGATTTGTGCCCGGCGAGCGGGATATCCATCCCATCCAAAAGGTAGAACCAGTGTCCAGGGACCGGAGCACAGAAGCAGCCATAAAGAAGCTTTTACGGCCACCGGACTGGAGGCGAAACTGAAGCCCAAGTCGAGATGATAAATCGTCTACCACGCTCAGTTGGCTTGTTGGACGTTTGTCGATTATTTGCCTGGATTTGCGTGGCTTTTATTTTTGCGCATTCTCTATTTACTATACTCGTATTTTGCCAGTGCAGGTCGACAACTTTTCACTGCCGACGACACTAACGGCTACCATAGATCAGTTCCGACCTGGCTGGAGCACAGCTCCTCCGGCTGCAGCTCCATCTTCAGCTCCAGCTCCTCTGGGCTCCAGGCTGGGCATTAGATTAGACAATTTGTTGGGGCTCCGGCGAACAGTTTGTGCCTGGAAGCGCCAGGGTCGTGGAAGAGGCTCTGTGGAATTTATCACCGCATTTTCCCCCTCGAATTTTCCCCTGCGTGTTAATTGAAAATTGTACGGTAATGTTGCTTATCGCGCGGCTATCAGACGTCTTTCCAAAGACCCAGAGTCTGGGTAACCACAATTCACCCAAATATCTGTAGAGCTTGCGTGTGCCGTGTCCATGTTCGTGGGCAGCATGCCACACCTTGAGGCACAGACACCTTGAGACAACAAGGCAGCACGCATCGACTTTGCCTCCCAGCTTGCGGTGAAAATTTCTAACACTTTTTGACAACTTTTTGGGAGAACGCACTTAAAAAATAATTTATCGCCGCTGACATTTTTCGTGACTTTAATTGCCCCGCGCACACTTCGATAGTGATTTACCTGTTGTGGCCCAGCAGCTTCTTGTCTATAGGTTTTTTATTTATGTTTGCCTACAGATTAGTTATATAGCCAGGTAAGCTTCGCCTTAGACTCGTAAGCGGTTGACGCGATTCGGGCTTAATTGCCTTTACACCCAGTGGGGATGATGGATCGTGGGTCGATTGAGCAGATCATTGGGCCTCTTAAAGTGCGGATGTACTCTGACCGCAAAATGTTCGACGGTCGGTCGGTTCTTGACGTAATCAGAATGCTTTTTAAGCGCCTAAAAAGAGGACAAAGTCTAACGTTGTTTTGGTAGCACATAATAATACCTATTAATATTTATTTGACCACAGAAGCACTTCTACTTTTTCGTATAAAACCTTTGCCGAATTCGCCCAGGCAAAACAGTGCCTAGAACCACTTCAAGCGGTTGGTTTACTTCGAGCTCAGAATAGAGTCCCTCTCATGGATACGTTCAAACTGCTGTTAACCGTGGGAGTGTTTTTCTGGATATACTTACTATGGAGTCGTCGCAGGCTCTATATGCTGCAACTGAAGCTCTCAGGACCCATGGGATTACCCGTTCTGGGCGTTGCCTGGGAGTATCTGATCACCTATAAACGTGATTATTGCATAAACTGGATAAAGCGGCAGTCGATTAACTGAAGTCTTTGTAAATATAGGCAAAATGAGCATACGAACCAAGTATATGGATATTTACGGTTCCACGTGTATCTTGTGGATGGGACCCACGCCATTGATAATCACACGGGATCCAAAGATTGCCGAGGAAATCTTCATGTCCCCAGAGTGCCTCAATAGGAGCTCGCTACTTTCCAAACCGATTTCCAGCTGTGCAGGCGATGGGTTATTGTCATTACAGGGTGATGGAAAACATGGAAAACATGGAAAACAGGCTTTAACTCACTGCAAAATAACATAATTATTTATTTTAGGATCCAAGTGGGTTGAACGTCGCAAGCACTTGAATCCCACATTCAGGCAAAATGTTCTGCTGAGTTTTCTTCCCATTTTCAACGCTGAATCGAAATCTTTGGTGGCCTTCCTGGACTCATTTGTCGGTCAGGGTGAAAAGAAGGTCCTCGATGATATAGTAAGATGGTCGTTTAGAGTAGCCACTCGTAAGTTAAACAAGATTTAAAATAGTTTCAGATGTCTATTGTAATATTTTTTCACAGAAACCACAGTAGGAACTGATGTGAAGGAAGAAACGGCCTTCAAGAACGATTCAGTTTTGAAAAGTTACGAGTCGTAAGTGCAATCGAGTCCGCAAACGTTCAGCTTCCAAAATAATTCACACTTCTTAGGCTTATGAAAATTATCGTCATGAATATTTTGTTGCCATTCACTCACAACAAGATAATTTCAACACTGTGCGGATTTGAAGCGCAGAAAACTTCGGCCAGGATTAATATTTACAAAATGATAGCCACAGTGAGTTTTGCATGGCCTAATTGGATTACCACCGTAACACCTTTCCCCCCTTAGATCGTTGACCGCAAGTTAATGTCAAAGCCCAAGAGTGGCTCACAGCCTGAAGTAAGCTCTTTGATTAAGAAGTCCATGGAACTCTATCGGAATGGAGAATTGCCCGTGGAAGAGGTGCGATCCGAGTGCTGCTCTATGGTTGCCGCTGCCTTTGAGACAACCGGTGTCACGGTGTGTCACGCCCTCACCCTGCTGGCCATGTTCCCGGAGCACCAGGACACGATCTACCAGGAGCTGAAGGAGCTGTTTCCCATGGCCGGCGACTTTGAGGTGACGTACGACGATTTGCAAAGAATGGTGTATCTGGAGCGCGTGTTAAACGAAACCCTGCGATTGATACCTTCTGTTCCATTTACACCGAGAGAAACACTACAGGATTTCCGGCTGTCCACTGGAGTGGTCATTCCAAAGGGAGTCGCAATTGGTGTCGATATATTTGCCACCCATCGCAACCGGGATCATTGGGGTCCCGATCCATCGATGTTCAACCCAGATCACTTTCTGCCCGACAATGTGCGCGATAGGCACCCTTACGCTTACATTCCCTTTTCGAAGGGAAGGCGAAATTGTATAGGTGGGTTTTTGTTGTTGTTTGTCATCATAAAATGCACTTTTAATCAATATACCCTAAGGTTGGAAATATGGATTGATGTCATCCAAGCTTGCCTTGTCTAAGATACTTAGGAACTACAAAGTGAGCACTTCTTATCGATACGGAGATCTCGAATTCGTTGACAACATGGGAATGAAACTGGCTCAGTTGCCTGGACTAGAATTTCATCGGCGGACTTAGGAACACTTGGGAACACTTTACACTTCAGTATTTTGCATCAGAATTTCCTAGATATCGATTCGAGGAACTGTTTTTATGTGACTATTTTGCTGTTACTCAGATTTATTTTAATAATTTGCTTATACAAATATAATATAAATCCAAAATTTTGTAATGTATTTCTTAATTTTCCTGCGAACTCACCTAATAAATGATTGCCTTAATGAAATACAAAGTAATTAGGCTGTAGAGTTGAAAGCCATAAATAGGTTGACATTAGGGCAACGCTTTTAGAAAAAAGCGTAACCAGAACTCGCCAAAAAAAGTAACTACCTAAATTATACAATTAGCGCTCGCAGATGAAAAATACTTGGTCAAAATGATAGACATAAAATTGTTGACCGCTGCGAGTGTAATTCTGTGGATCCTTTTTATATGGAGTCGACGCAAATTATACATGCTGATGCTGCAGTTGCCGGGAACCATGGGACTTCCTTTAATTGGGAATTCCATAGGATATCTACTCATTGGCAGGCGTAAGTGCGATGTAAAAACTCGAATCAGAAAAAAATATCCTTATCCACAGGCAGCATGAGTTCAAGAACCAGGTATATGGATAGGTACGGTTCCACATTTCTGTCCTGGATAGGCACAACTCCCATTTTGATAACAAGAGATCCAAAGATGGCCGAGGAGGTCTTCACGTCACCCTTGTGCATTAACAGAAGCTCTCAGACAACTAATGCGATGGCACTTTCTATGGGAAAGGGACTGCTGACACTACAGGGTACTGCGGTCTATACGCCACTTTTATCTAAAATTTCACTAATGGCATCCATGCAGGATCCAAGTGGATGGCGCGTCGCAAGCAGATGAATCCCGCATTTAAGCATAGTGTTTTGCTCAGCTTTCTTCCCATTTTCAATGCCGAAACGGATTTACTGGTCAGCTTTTTTGACTCCTATGTTGGTAAAGGTGAAGTAGATGTCCTGCCAGACCTTATTCGATGGTCATTCAAAATAGCTACTCGTAAGTAAACAAACCATTCCAATTTTGAGGCAAACTTAATTTTGGCTGTATAGAAACCACATTGGGCACGGATGTTACAAAAGATGATAGTTTCAAGGACGACACAATATTGAAGAGCTACCAGTCGTAAGAGACTCCCAAATAGTATTGTCCTCTCACTATATATATTTCTTTATATATATCTTTAGGATCTTGCGACATACCATCATAAATATTTTCTTGCCATTTGTGCAAAATAAAATTCTTTCCAAACTCTTCGGACTTGAAAGGCTGCGAGCAAGAGACGTTTCTGAGATTAATAAAATGATAAACAACGTGAGTTGAGATTGCCAATTGAAGATTTACATTTTCAGCACTTTCCTATTCAGATTCTGAACAAAAAGCTAAATTCAAACCCTGCCAATAATTGCGAGTCTGAACTTAAGACGGTTATACACTGGGCAATAGAACTTTTTCGTAATGACGAAATATCCCTAACTGAGTTATGTGCCGAATGCAGCAGTATGGTTCTCGCCGCATTCGAGACAACCGCCCACACGGTTTATCATGCCCTCGTTTTGCTGGCCATGTTCCCCGAGCATCAGGAAATGGTCTTCAACGAGATTAAGGAGCACTTCCCTTTGGCCAAAAACTTCGAGGTTACCCACACCGATCTTCAACAATTGGCTTACCTCGATCGCGTGTTGAATGAAACCCTGCGATTGTTACCATCCGTTCCGATCTCCGCGAGGGAAACACTGGAGGACTTGCAGCTATCAAATGGAGCTGTGATCCCCAAAGGAATGGTTATCGTCATAGACATATTCAACACTCATCGAAACAGCGATTATTGGGGCCCAGAAGCAGCGCGCTTCAATCCCGAAAACTTTCTACCGGAAAAAATCCAAAATAGGCATCCATATGCCTTTGTTCCTTTTTCGAAGGGAAAGAGAAATTGCATTGGTTTGTTAGCCTTGTCAAATATGAGTAAAATGCTTAATACATTTTTTTATCTGTTTCAGGCTGGCAATATGGACTGATGTCTTCGAAGCTAGCTTTGGTCAAGATACTGAGAAACTACCAGCTAAGTACTAGCTTTCCCTATGAAAATCTGAAATTCGTCGACCACATGGTCATGAAGCTGCATCAGTCACCACAACTGGCATTTCAACGACGAACTTCTTAACAGAACGTTTTAATTTTGCATATTATCACACATATTATATATATTTATAATGAGAAATGGTAGCTTTTTTTAATTTAATAAATGTGCGAAAAGGTCAAAATGTTTTAGGGCAATTAAATGGTATGCATGTTTCCCCTATATAAAGCTCGTACGAATTCACAAAGATTCATTCACCACCGTTCAACAAAATAGCAGCTGGAAATGGTTACTCTGCAATTGTTAGAGGCAACTGCAATAATTTTCTGGATGTATTTCCTATGGAGACGTAGAAGATTTTACATTATGATGCTAAAGTTGCCTGGACCAATGGGAATTCCCTTTGTGGGACTTGCATTCGACTACATTCGCCTAAAACGTATGCAATCATATACTCTAATTAAATGAAGTAAAGGTATTTTAGATGTCTACTCACAGGTAAGATTCGCCTGCGTACCATTTTATTTAAAAGGTACGGAAAAACGGTATTGACCTGGATTGGCATAACACCAGTCCTGGTCACCTGTGAACCGCAGATCCTTGAGGATATTTTCATGTCTCCCCATTGCAACAACAGGAGTTCTGTTGTGGACAGGGCCATTTCATCATGCTTAGGACTGGGGCTTCTGACACTGAAGGGTAAGTGACGAATTGGTATAATTTTTTGTTTCATAATTCAATCGATTGTTGATATAGATAATCAGTGGAATGAACGAAGAAAACTTTTGTCACCATCGTTTAAGAACAATGCCGTTCTAAGTTTTGTGCCAGGCTTAAACAATGAATCAAATTTCTTGGTAACTTTACTCGGTGAATTTGTCGGTCGGGGAGAGTTAAACTTACTTCCAGAACTTAATATATGGTCGTTCAAAATAGCCGCTCGTAAGTAAATAAATAGTCGGATATATTCTTATTTTAATAGCTTTTAAATTTTAGAAATTACCATGGGCGATGAAGTGAGAAATCAGGCCAACTACAAGAACGGAAATCTGTTGGAAAGCTACAAGGCGTACGATTATTACCATCCGATAACATTGATTCCAGCCGATTTCACATAATACCTTATATATTGCATAGACTCAACAACCTAATACCTTTTGGAGTTGTGATGCCTTGGCTGAGGAATAAGTATCTAGGAAGGCTTTTTGGCTATGAAAAACGACGACTAGAGGCCACAACGCAGTCAAATGCCTTCATCAAAGATGTAAATATAACTTAGATTTCAGAGATTTCCTTCTAAAGATATTTTTACAGATAATTGACAAAAAGCTGAGTCGTAGCACAGAAAGTGTCTCAGAACCGGCACTAATTGACCGCATTCTCGATCTTGTCAGAAGCGGAGATCTTTCTTATGACGACGTGATGGGGGAATTTTCTAATATCATTTTTGCCGCATCCGACACCTTATCTATAACAGTCAACAACGTGCTTATTCTGTTAGCAATGTTCCCCGACCACCAGGATAAAGTATTTGAGGAGCTAACAGAAGTGTTTCCTGTAGGAGGAGAGTTCGAAGTTAGTCATGCGGATCTGGCCAAATTAGTGAAATTGGATCAAGTCTTGCATGAGACAATGCGTTTAATACCGGCCGTTCCACTATTGATAAGGCAAACATCCCAGGGCATGCAACTATCAAACGGATTTAAGATTCCAGAAGGCGTAACCCTAATGATAGACATTTTTCACACTCACCGTAATAAGAACATATGGGGACCACAGGCTAATGCATTTAATCCCGATAACTTTCTGCCCGAAAATAGGCGAGCAAGGCCATCTTTTGCATATTTACCCTTTTCAAAGGGGAAGAAAACATGCCTGGGTGGGTACTTCCTCAAAATTCTTTATAAATATTATAATATTTTATATACTCAGGTTGGAAGCTTTCGCTGATAGCTGCAAAGCTGGCACTAGCTAAAATATTACGAAATTATATGCTGAGTACCAGCTTTTTGTATAAGGACCTTCAGTTTATAGACAATACCACTATGAAGCTGGTGGAGCAACCATTACTAGCGGTTAATCGTAGAATATAATGAAACATGGAGCAATAATTCTATATTGTTTAAGTGCTTGAAATAAAGACATCAAAGTAACCTCAACTACATTTCCCTACTGTCGCATTTTCATCCCGGCAGTTGTAATGGAAAACACATTCGAAATGAACACAATATAGACTGCAATAGCTTTCCAAATTCAAAGTGACCCAAAATGTTGGCTCTGGCCAGGAATTCGTGGTGTGGCCAACTGCTGAGTCGCCTGGCGAACATCGAAGCCCGCTGCCCGTACTCGAAGACATCCGCCGGCGGAAAGCAGGGCGAGAAGAAGGGCAAGTACAGGATCGTGATGGTGCGGCATGGGGAGTCCGAGTGGAACCAGAAGAACCTATTCTGCGGATGGTTCGATGCCAAGCTGTCGGAGAAGGGCCAGCAGGAGGCCTGTGCCGCCGGCAAAGCCCTCAAGGATGCCAATATTGAGTTCGATGTGGCCCACACCTCGGTGCTGACCAGAGCCCAAGAGACACTCAGGGTTGCCCTGAAGTCCAGCGAGCACAAGAAGATCCCAGTGTGCACCACGTGGCGCCTCAACGAGCGCCACTACGGCGGACTGACGGGACTGAACAAGGCCGAGACCGCCAAGAAGTTCGGCGAGGAGAAAGTGAAGATCTGGCGCCGCAGCTTTGACACCCCACCGCCGCCCATGGAGAAGGATCACGAGTACTACGCCTGCATTGTTGAGGATCCGCGCTACAAGGACCAACTGAAGCCGGAGGAGTTCCCCAAATCCGAGTCCCTCAAGCTCACCATCGAGCGCACATTGCCCTACTGGAATGAGGTCATAGTGCCCCAAATCAAGGATGGAATGCGTGTCCTGATTGCCGCCCACGGCAACAGCCTGCGGGGCGTGGTAAAGCACTTGGAGTGCATCTCTGACAAGGACATAATGAGCCTCAACCTGCCCACGGGCATTCCCTTCGTCTACGAACTGGACGAGAGCATCAAGCCCTTGGCCACGTTGAAGTTTCTCGGCGATCCGGAGACGGTCAAGAAGGCAATGGAGTCGGTGGCCAACCAGGGAAAAGCCAAGTGATCCGAGATTTCAGATTTCGGGAATGTCCAGGCAATCTCCGAAGAGGTCAGAGCAATCAGCTCAATGCACTTGCATGCCAAACAAAAACGGCGAATCGAAACTGCTCACTGTGGCCAGGCGAATGTCAAGCAGCAAATAAATTTATTTGATTTTAATTGGCAATGAAAAGTCAACAGCGATGGGCTGGCCATTGGTCTCTTGGTCTCTGGAACGTCTTTGGCGACGGCTCTGGGTCCCAGGGTCTGGATCTGGGTCTGGGTCCGGGTCTGGGTCTGGGTCTGAGCCAAAGTCCAGCCATATTTATATGTGTTTCCATTGCGCTCGTTTAAGAAATCAGGGAATCGAGTGTGTCGCGTCAATTTTAATTGCTGCGGGATGAGTCCGAGCAGCCTCTGGCATTCCGAATGGGTCGAATTTTAATTTGTTTAAATGAAATACTCATTTAGGGCTTATTGACAAACAAATTGAATTGATTGATCTAAATGAATTTATATGCTGAGCCCGTTGCGCAGCGAGACTCAGATTCCCCCAGAATGAGAGATGAGATGCGTTGAGATGGGTCGCTGGAGTTTTGGTTTGGTTTAGTCTTCTGCCCATTTGACCCGCTGCTAGCCGTCTATATGGGAGTTCATTTGGGCCAGATTTTCCGTGTTAGGCTCGCAGAGCGTGGCGAGCTTTGATCCAGTAAATTGAGAGCGTGAAACGAGCTAGGAGACGAGGCGGACACTCTGCCGCAAACCTGGGTCCTCTGCAGGAGCATCCTTCTCTTGGGCTGTCCCAACTGAATTACCTGGCTGACTAGTGTGGCGCGAAGAGGCCTGAGCTCCACATTATTTGAACCTAATTACACCGCAGTCGAGCCGAGACCGAAGTTAAAGCCAAAGTCAAAGTCGGCGCCCCGTCAAATCGTTTCCACTTTATATATACTCGTACATATATGCATGTACATATGTGCGGTGTACCAATTGCAGCATAGAAACGGCGGGAACATAAAAATGTTTGCACTTCGTATTTGTCGCGCATAAAATCTAATATCGAATTACAAGGCCCGGTCTTTGGAGAGGAGTCCAGAGTTCGCAAAACAGTGTGCGTGCCAGCGAAACTTTGTGGCAGGCTCCATCGACCAACCGCTCCGGCTCCACATCCCCACATCCCCACGTCTCCACATCCTCATGCTGGCATCCACATCCCGCTGCCATAAAGAAACTGAATTGAGTTAAATGCGCGATAAATTGCTTTTTGCATTTATCATGGTCGCCCTGGCAGGCGGCAGCCCAAGTTTCGCTGGAGTCGGGCCAAGCCTAGACCACGAAGATGGCGAGGCGACTCTGTGGACTCCACCCAGACACGCGGACACTCGGACACCCGGACTCTCGAACTCCTCCGCCCTCCCTCTGGCTGTGGCGAATATTGAACAAGATTTTTAATTAGTCGCCAAAGCGTAGAAAGTGGGGGCATGTGACCAAGAATGCAAGCCTTCGAGGAATTCAGTCAAGTTCGGGCAGAGGCTCAGTTTATTTATGCGCTACAGCTCGGTATTTATTGGGCCAAGTCTTTGTTGATCACCTGGCTGATGTAGGGCAGAAAACTGGACACCCGTGTGTAGACGTCGGGTCTGCCCTGGGCACAGGTGGATGATCCGTACGAGACAATTCCCACTAGTTGCGGCTGCAGACCAGGCTTAATCAGGGGTCCACCAGAGTCGCCCTAAAATGAGGAAATCATGATTGAATTTTGAATAGTAGCTTAGCATGATGCTACTATTTATTTACTCACCACACATGCCCCTTGGCCGTGGACAGCCAGGGCGCAGATCTCGTTCCGGGTGACCCGAAATCCCTTCTGGTTGCAATCCTCATTCGAGATGGTGCGATAGTTCAGGGCCTGCAGCTGATCCGGCAGAGTCGCCGAAGCAGTGGATGAAGTGGTGGATCCCCAGCCGGTGAGACGGACGGGAACCTTCTCGCCAATGCGATCCGAGCCACCGATAGGGATCGTACTGATGTCAGATCGCTGCAGGCGAAACGGCGGAGTAACCTTGACCAGGGCGATGTCGTTGATGATCCGAGGATTCATCGAGTACTGGGGATGAACGTGCTTGGTCACCACCCGGTGACGTAGTCCACCGGCCTTCCAGTTCAGCGTCCCAACGACGACGCTAACGTCCTCGACCTTCATCTTCTCCATGCAGTGGGCCGCCGTAAGAACGTGCTGACCACTCACAATGGATCCTCCACAGAAGTGCTGCCAGCGTCCACGTCGCTGCATTTGCAAGGACACCTGGAAGGGCACCGTCTCGTTCACCCGCTGCCCGCCATTTATCCTAATGGGTGATTCGGTGGTCGGGGTCACCACGTCAGCTAGTCCTTGCCGAAGGATGAGCGGCATGCAGAAAAGCAGAAGTACTACCATTTTCAGACACGATACCACGATTAAAATATTGCGAATGAATTGCTTTCCACTGCAACCCACGCATTTTATACATCTCCATGCAGAACAGCCTTATCATTTATTTGGCGATGCAAACAGGTAAATTCTGGTGATCTTGAAATGTAATGTGGGCTGAATTGGGGCGACCTTTCCCAGACAACACTTATGTGTTTATGTACACTGAACTAAAATTCTCTAGTTAGTACTTAAGATGCCAGACATTTTTCGAAACATATTACTATGCACTACCAAATCTTATTTGACTCAAATGTTAATATGTAGAATGCGTAATTAATAAGTTGTTATTTATATTTGGACTCTAGTTATTTGTTAAATACTTCTAGCATAAGTTAGCTCAACAATACTGGACCAAACCGTAGTCCATGGGGAGGGATCTCCTGCTGCTCCGCTCCGTGATGCCCAGTTGTCGCCTTGCGTGCCTGGTTATCATAAGCTGGCCGGAATGCGATCCTCCGATGCCTTCATAAAACTGGGCTTGACAGAAGCGCCTACCTGTTGTCATCAATTAGGTAACACGCTCACGCGACCGATAAATATTAAGGCTGCTCTAGCCGCGTACCGTATCAGTATCTGTTTATCCGGGCGAATGCGAATGCGAATTCGTATCTGGCCGCTGTTCCGTGGCATGATCTCTTATCTGATTTGCAAATAAGAATCTGTTTAATTTGCCAATGCTGCGGCGCAGAGCCAATGCCAGATCGCTGCATGTGTAGGGGTCCAGAGTCATAATTTATAATACTAGTGGAGTGGAGTGGAGTGGAGTGGAGTGGAGTGGAGTGGGATGGGGTGGGTGATTCGCCGGGAGACCGAGGTGCTCCTTGTGGTGCGATACTGGGCAAATTAAGTACTAAAATAAACGACCAATTTACTGATTATGCAAAACACGCAATTAATTTTCCACTTGCAGTCGAGTGCGAAAATTAATTGCCTGCGAGGCGGAAAACTCATTCGGCTAACAAGGCTGATCCCGTTCGTTTATATGGGCATCAGTCATAATCATTTGCATACGAGGCGATGCAGAGGAAAGTTTTGCCAACCTGTTTTTGATTGACCCTAAAATCAACATGGCTAGTTATACTCTTCCCGAGCTGCTACTGTATTTTAAGCCTGATACGTATACGTACACATATAAAATGCCACTTCTCCCACTCCGGACAGATCATAAAACCAGCGGCTCCGCTTTATGAACTCGGTCAATAAATCAAGCTGAAGACGTTGGCGGCAAACAGACAAACAAGAACACAAGTCCCGAAAACAAAAAGCCCATAAAAATTGCTCGGGGAATGAATGCCCATATAGGATGTGGCCAGTTCTTCTGGGCCACACGCACAATTCTACAGAAGTTGGCTGGCCAACTGGCGAACATGGCCCAGAAGCAGGGCTCTCCAGCGGGGCAGGCAATCAAGCAAAATGTCATAATAATGATGGCGTCCCGTCGGAGCCGACAGGCAGGATGCTTATCTTGTTAACACCGAACCGATCCGCCAGCCCTTCAAAAGGAGGATATGGTCTCGGGAACACTGCTGATGATGAAATGATTAAAGTGCACTTTATTAGTGGGAATTTTGAGTATCGTCTGCGATTTTTGCCTTCATCATTAAGGCGGCTTTTTGTGACGACTGGTTGTGCAAACTGGAATATGTTCAGCAGCCTGCAATGCAAAGTGATAAGATGTGTTTCAATTTATACATTTATACAACTTTCCCTTCCTGTTGATACCTAATACTAAAAGAACACAATTAGATACCCAATGAATTTACATTTCTGGCGTTAAATTCAAATTAGCAATACATTCTACCTACTTTTTCTCGATTCAATAAAAATGTTTAACAAACTTCTCGGTGTGTGTTTTTCTTGATTACATTTTGCCCGCTAGAACAAAACCTAATGAGTTAACACCAGGATTAACCCGTCAACCTCAAGTTGCGTGAGGACGCAGCAAGCCCACATGCAAATTAGAGGCGGGAATTAAGCATAAAGTCTGCAGATAAGTCAAGCCGTGACAGGGTGGTCCAATTAACAATTGGAGGCAGGAGGCAGAAGGCAACACGACAGGCGCCAGAGTCGGATTCAGATCCCAGACACATCCTGTGGACGGAGTCCCGCTCCCTGGCGATATAATAAAGCCATTTCGGGTTCAAATCGGTTCGCTGGCTCGCTGGCTCGCAGCTTCGTGGCGCTGCATCGCGGCCCAGGACAATTAACACAGAAGTCCAAAGATCAAGACCTCAGCAGCAGCCAGGATGCAAGTGGAGGAGCAGCGGGAGAAGGAGTGGCCACGAAACCGAGAGGTGTGCATAATTAATTCGCGCCTGTGCGCCACACACAGTTGAGGCAACTCAACTCCTCCGTCCAATGCAGCTACAGCCGAAATGATTCATTAGCCGGGTGCAATCAGGCCCGGAACTGACACATCTGACTCCGAATGTGGCCCAGATAGCGCTTCCCTGGCCCGCCCATGACAGAGGCATTGCAATTGAGGCAGAACCCGAGGCGGCAATGGAGCCTGATTTGCATCGAACATGTGGATGGCCCGGAGCTGCTGTCTGCATTCGAAACTCAACTGCAACTGCCTCCGAGATGCCCGAGGTGCCGAGGTGCCCGAGGTGTCCAAGGTGCTGATTGCCAGCGGCAGGTCTCCTGGTCCTGGTCTCCATGTCCGCACAATGAATTAAAAGAAATGTCCGCTGCCGTGGCAGGGGCT